AAAAATAAAAGTTTATTTATACTTTAAAGTTATACTTTAAAAAAAAAAAAGTTAAACTACTTTTTCTTTTTTTTTTACTTCTTCTTTGTTTTTTATTTTCATTTTTAGATTTAAAAAAAATTTAAATATTTGCTTATTTGTTTTTACAAGTTTTTACAATAAACATGACAAAAACATTTTTTTGTTTTAAAAGTTTTTTTAAACTTTGTAACCATCGGAAAAACAAAAAACAAAAAACAAAACGAAAAAATTCTTAATTAATTTTATAAATATCTTATCACAAAGAATTTTTTTTTTAGTTATACTTTCAAAATATTAGAAAAATGACACGTGATTTTTCAATCATTATTATTATTATGACTTTGATACATTTTCGAAAAAAAAAAATGGATGACATCGATTTGATTCTACGAATTTTTTTTTTTCTTTTGTTTAAATATGACGTCACGTTTTTAAAAAATTTTTATAATTAAAAACTGAGTCAAAATGTTTATAAAAATCGAATCATCGGTTAAATATATATTTTTTTTTAATTATTAATTTAAAAAATCGGGTTGTGACGTTTGACAAATGATAAATAATAATGATAATAATAATAAGGGAATAGAGGAGGGACTAGTCAAGGAATGGTAAGATCACATTCCAACCCCGGTTACGACAGCAGGTTCATGCACGGTTTTGTATGATTAATAAGCCTGCTCCAACAGAACTGTGCCAGCCAACAAACCGGATATCATCCTGAGGGATAATGCGGAAAAATGGTGTAAGCTAATTGAAGTATCCGTGCCGGCGGAAAAAAACACCAGACAGCCAAAGAAGCAAACAAAAGGCTGAAATAGCCAGGATGTGGGGAACAGGAAAACAGAAACGATTCCGGTCATCGTGGAAGCAGTAGCACTGGGAGCCATGCCACCACATTCAATAAAAAAAAATTTAAAGAAGATTTTGAAGAACCTAAAAGAAAAAACCATCAAGGAAATCGCACTATGTGGGACGGCCCACATTCTTCAAAAGCAGCAGCATCACCTCGATATTCGAGCAATTATCCCTAAGGAATCGTCGGGAAGAAACCTGAAATAATGTTTAAAAATCCGAAAAATACGCAAAATCATGTTCAAAATTAATAATAATAATAATAATCATAGTAAAATATATGTATTTTTATTTTAGTGGTAAAAATTTTTATTTATTTAACCTTTTAAAGGTTTTCTCCCGATTTTTTTTCTCTTTCATTTATCAAAAACTGATACCGTTTGAAATAAAAAAAATAATTTTTTTTCCTTTTTTCCTTTATTTTGTTTCCATTGGTTTTTACTTTTTGGTCGTCTCTATTGCAAAAAAAAACCAAAAGAAAACAAACGTTTTTTATTACATTTCTTTAATTTTATATTTAAAAAAAAAATCCAATAATCGTTTTACAATAACAACAACAACAACAACCAACAACCGCAAAAAAAACAACAATAATAATAACAACAAACTTTTTTTTTTTTTTGTTTGACTTAAAATCGATATGGAAAAAATAATAATAATAATAATAATAATAGTGATTCGTGTGTAACATGCGTGGAAGAAACAAAACAAACAATTGTTTTAACAAAAAAAATAATCGACATTAAACTTTTATTTTGATTTTTACACTCGTCAATAATAATCATTATTATTATTATTATTATTATTATTATTAAAATTTTTTCTTCTTTTAACAACACGTGTATTATTATTATTATTAATAACGACACTTTTTTTTCATATTCGAATTAATAACAGCCTGTTGAATTTTTTTTATTTTTTTATTTAATTAAAATTATATTTTATATTTTTATCATTATTATTATTTTCACATTCGTTTTTATTTATTTATTTATTATTATTAATACTGAATGATTTCTTATTGAATGTTGTCGTTGTTGTTGTTGTTGTTGTGATGAATCGATAAATTGTTTTTTTATTATTATTATTATTATTTTTTAACGGCTCAATGATTTATTTTTTAAACTTACCGTAAAAAATTTTTTTTATTATTTTTTTTCAAGAGAGAGAGTTATTATACATTATTTAATTTTATTTATTTATTTATTTATTATTAATAAAAAAAAGAAAAGAGGAATAAACGAATTTATTGATGTTTTATGTGTGTCGTGTGTCCGATTTGATAATAATAATAAAAAAAAACAACAACCGGAAATTATTATTATTAAAATATAATTTTAATGTTAATAATAATAATATAATAAATAATTTTAATAATAAAAATAATAATAAATTTTTGTTTTTAGAAATTTAAAAAGGCGATTTATTAAAGAAAAAATTTTTTTTTCATTAAAAGAAAAAGAAGAAGAAGAAGAAAAAGGCTTAAACTAATAATTCTACTTAAAAAAAAAAAAAAAACTTTTTTTTTTACTTAAAAGCTAAAAAAAAAAGAGCATTAAGTTTTTTTTTTCTTTTAATTGCTACGAGAAATTAAAATGTTTTTAAAATAATAATAATAATAAATAATTTAATATTAATAAAAAGAAATTTTTTTTATATTATTATTTTAACATTAAAACCTTCATTATTGTTTCCTATTCAACAAAAAAAAAAAAAACCTTTTTTTCTTCTCCTCTTCGTGGTTTTAATCAAAGAGGTTCCTTCCGGTCAGTTCGATTCAAATTTTATTTATTTTTATTTTCCTTAAATTTAATTTTAAATTTTTTTTATTTATTTAAAAA